TGCACGAAGGACAAAGGTGCTGGAGAGTTGAGAGACGGCGGCAGGTCTCTGGGCTCGGCCCGGGCAGGACAATGCCCTACGAGCGCCAGCCCTCACCCCTCGACGGAGAAAGGCTCCAGCGCTCCGCTGACTGCGCCAACAAGGCGGCCCTCCCTCGGGAGCGCTCTGGAAACCCAGGGGGGCTCCAAGAGGGAGCAGGGCTTTTCCTGCAAGGACAAATCTCGACCTGATTATATTTCGCGCTTCAAGACGAGGCAAAAGCTTTGCCCGCACCAAGCTGCCGCTACAAGTTTCCCAGCTCGGGCCGACGCTCCAGGGTCCTAGAGATGCCGACGGCCACTGGACAGAGGAATGATGGGGTCCCTCTGGTGTGCCCAGGGTCTCACTCAGACCTCGGCTCTGCTTTCAAGGGGTAAAAGCCCAGCTGAGTTTTTTGGGGCTCAGGGGTAGGCAGGAACAGCCTCTGCAGCAGTGGCCTGAGGAGAGGGGGGCTTGCAGGGGGGATATCGCTGCTGCTGTATCCGAAGCCGGCAGCGTCCTCGTGCTGCAGCACCTCTGTTCCCAAAGCCGGTGTCTGAGCCATGAGCTGTCAGCTGCGAGGGGAAGGGGCTGCTCCCAGCTGGGGCACTGGGCAAAGCCCCGGGGCCGGGCAAGGCTGGAGCGCGAGGAGGATGGCTGCAGGCAGGGGGGGCAGCGCGGGAGGGATGGGACGCCCGGCAGGCACCAGGAATCCCGCCAGGTACAAAGAGGGTGACAGGCGTCATCAGCACGGACACGGTATCGTGTCCCATCTCCACACCTTGCTGGGAAGGTCACAACCTTTTGTGGCCAGTGCTGGGCTTCATCATAGCACAAGGTTTCCTCCCTGCTCCTAAATACCCTGTCAAAGCTGGAGAGATGCTGCCAAGGGATGGAAGTAGGTCTTGGAAAAACAACCTCTCGCCACCTGCTTTCCCTCCGGAACAACGGCAGCCCCAGAAATCAGAGGGAGATGCCTGGGGGCGATGGAGGGGGCAGGATGTACGTTTCCAGCAGTGTGCAGAGGCCAGGGTGGAGGGAGAGCACAGACTCATTAACTTGGCCCCGCGGCTCAGGAGATGACAAGTCGAAGACTGTAATGACTGTTCAAGGCAGGGCTTGGTGACAAAAGCCCAAGCGTGGATAACACATGCCGGAGAGGAGGAGAAAAAGAGGGAACGGGGGGAAAAATATCCTCAACAACGAAAATAATCCCAAAACGTGTTGTGCACAACACCCAGTGGAGATTTCTAAAAACAGCTCGTGTGAAGTTATTTTAATCTCACTTCTGAGAAGCAAGCGGGTGCGACAGAGAGGGGAGCGCACAGGGGTTATACCTGGGGCCGGGGTTCCGGCACGGTGCCACAGGGACACCATCCTGAGTGGGAAGAGGTGTGGATGGAGCCCCTGCCACGCATGACGGGCATGGGCAGAGCAGCAGCATGGCGATGACGCCCGCTGGGCTCCCGCTGCGGCCGGGCTGTCGCGTAAACGGCGAAGGTGCCAAAGGACGAGCTGGGAAACGTGTTGGCGTTCAGCCCCTGCTCCGTCAGGGAGAAGCTGGCAGAGCCGGAAGGAAAAGGCTCAGTGCAGGGAAGAGGGGAGCGCTGGGGCTGCTGGAGGGTGCACAGACGCGTGCCGAAGAGGATAAATCGCTAAGAACCCCCGACAGGATGGGGAAGGCAGAGCTGGGAGGGCGTAGAAGGCAAATTAACCTCCCCAGGATAAGAGCTCTGGGGAGAAGGGAAGGCAGTTGATGAGACCCCATGAACAGCCACCCCCGAAGGGAGCCTGAAGGGAGTCAAAGGGCGCAGGGGAAGCCGAGGACATTGGAACAGCAGACCGGAGAGCGTGGTGGTCTCCACGATCCTTGACATGTCCTGCAAGACATGGCCTCTCTGCACAGGACCAGGAGAGATTTCAGCTCCTCGGCACAGAGATGAAGCTCTGCCCACAGGAATTGCCTCAACTGACAGACCACAAACACACATGGGATTTACACCAGACAAGAGCCACCGAGGTGCCCCAAGCACCAACCCAGGCGGCCAGCACCTCCTGGGCTGATGCCGGCGCCGACACTGGGTGAGTTCCGTTTTGGCTGCATCCCTGCCTGGCCAGGCAACGCCGTCCCCGGCGGCGGGAGAGCCAGGTGACACCTTCCGGCATCTTGCAGGATGAAGATGCTCCTGCCCGCCGCGTTTGGGGTTCACACAGCGCCGCGCAACATGTGGACACACAACCTTGGGTACAGAAGGGCCGGCGCGTGCCGTCAGCCCGCCGCGGGACTCTCTCCCGGCCCCTGAATGATGGAATCCAGTAACACGTGGCTGGGAGTCTCCTGCTGGATGAATCGGGGGGGGGGAGGCGCAAACCACTTTTGGCTACTCTGTGCACGGAAAAAGGAGATGCTCTCGGGTGAGAATTACTCACTCTGCTCCAGTTACCTTACAATTCTTCGAGCGAAACTCCATCCCACCACCAATATGTTGGCAGCCAGCTGGAGATCCTCACAACCCCGCGCTCGCGGTAACTCGAGGCAAGACCCAGCTCTAAGGTTGGAGGTAACAGGCCCGTGCCCCGCGCTGCCCCCAGCCGCGCCTGAAGGCCCCCCCAGTCTCGCTCCACCCGCGCACTGTTCCCATCCTCCTCCGGCGCCGGGAATGAACAAGCATCGCCTCGGTGGCTGGTCCTGGGAACACCCACAGGGACTCCCTGCCATGCAGTGGAGAGCGACCTCCTCCTGGATGAGTTTACTCCTTCCCAGGATCGTTTCTCTTCCCAGACCAGCAGATTTTTAAGAAGGTTAATGATGCCACCACCTCTTTTTTCACATCCTTTCAACGGCCTAACGGAGTCGGAGAAGCATCCATACGGATCTGCAGGGGCCAGGCGGCGCCCACGCAGCCTCCCCATGCACACTCCCACTCCGTTTCCCAGCGTGGGGACTTGGCTTTGGGTTCCTGTCCTGCTGCCACCCTTGTGACAGGGGGTGGAAGGCTGCAAACCCCAGGCCACCCTTGCAGGGATGGTGCTGCCTGCACAGGGTGAGGAACGGCCTCCCCTGCTTGACCCAGGCAGCTGGCATCCCCTCCTGGGGATCACGACAGCCTCCACTGCTCCTGAAACTGCTGGGGAAGCCTCCGGGTGGAAAAGGAGAGGGAAAAGATGGCCACAGGTGGCAAAACCCCACTCCCAGCACAATCCCGGCCCCAAAACTCACCAAGGGGTTTGGCAACTTTGACACTCGAGATTCCAGGCTGACGGGCAGCTCCAGAGGTGGGCACAGCCCCAGGATGGCAGAATTCCCACCCTCAGCCTGGAGCACACCAGGAACGATTCAGGAAGCTGGGAACCCACCAGTACCATGCTGCGGGGCAGCAACAGCTGCCCCAGACACCTCCACAGGGGGGACTGGCGGGGCCGGGGGG